CCTGTTGGAAGGAGTGTGTCCTAAAAGCAACAGCACAATTTTTCTTGCRAAGATACCTAAAGAAGAACTTTCCTAAAGGAAAAGGAGAACTTTAAAGCTTTAGGATTGCATCTGTAGTTTGAGGTAGGAAATTTAGGTCTGAATTTGTGTTTTCCAAAGATGATGAGGGGCCTATTCCTGTAAGGTAGAAAAGCTATGGGAGCAGATCTCAAAATTTTATGTTACTAAATTTGGGCATCCTCTGACCTGCTCTTGAAAACAAGACCAATGTATATACTCCTATATACAATGTAGTGTTTTTAAGTCAGAGATTAAGCGTAAATATCTCTGAATTCACTTGCATTCCATACCAATCAGATCTGATTCTCGCAACACTTTGGCACAGAAAGTAGCACATGATTTAAAAAATAAAATTGCTGGGGTGCTTTAACTCACAAAGACAACATGGTTCCTCCRTTGAGAAGAATGTAACTAAGGGTAGTCTTAACTAAGGGTAGTTTTAACTAAGGGTAGTCTTAACTGATGAAAAGATAGTCTCCAAGCACTACAAGTGAAACTTACATTTGGTGCCTCTATTGTCTCTAAACACAAAGCATAAAAGTAGTACCAGCAAGTAACAAACAACTCCTAGCTGGGGGTCAACACTCTGAGGGACCTTGCATTTAATGGCCTTGCAGATAATGCCCATGCTGTGTTTTAAGAACATGTCAGGAAAAAACCTCTTCAGTCTACTTATTAGGAGAAGGGCATGTATGTTTTAATGCTATTTGTATTAAAAACTTACACAGAAATATTTCAGAACTAGGAAAGCCGCTTCTGTCAGAAGAGTGTTTTTTGGCAATATGGCATTACAGGCAATGTGTTGAAACTTGAGTTTCTGAGTGCAGATTGTGCTCTGGACATAAATAGATCAATCTCTAAATGCTCATGAAAACCAGGCTGCAAGTGACTTTGAGTCCTGACAGTCACCCATCTCCAACCCATCTCTATAGCACCTTTAGTGTGAAAGATATTACACAGCAAAGCAAAATTCAAGGCTTTTGCTGCAAGGACTGAAAATTTACTTCGATGTCTTAACGTAGCAGCTGACACTGGATGGATGATCTATGGTCAGATTACACAATCCTGATAAGGGGCAGTACCTTGCTCAGAAGAGTCTTCTAAGTATCACCAGAATTGCAGTGCATGAGGTCATAAAAAAATACAAAATATGCACTGGCACATGGAGAGAGGAGAGGAGGATGGAATAGGGMGGGACAAGAATACTTACCACCCTCACCTGCCTCTCATTTACTTCTATCCAGAAAGCACTAGCTCTTGTTTAGCACTTCAGCAGTACAAACCACACTCTGGCTTTGTTTTCCTATTTACTTTCTGGGCAGTGCAATCACCCTGAGCAGAGATGAGCAAACTAAGGATGGATTAGGCCTGAAAAAAAATCTCTATTTTATGTTTACAGTTTTTAATGATCAGCTTGCAAGACTACAAAAATTCTGTTCATGAAAACAACAAAAAATTAAGCAAAAGAACACAAAATTGTCTTCAATATATTTGATATGTGTTACTTCCACATTGTTTCTTAAAAGAAGGAAAGGTTGTTGTAGCACTATGACAAATATTCTAAAAATAAATGTATCTTAGAAAGCTTCTCTATGTACTGTTATCACTGTCTTTCTTCAAGTACTAGCCCATGCCCTGCCACCCGTACTCTGACTAGGCAATGCGTGCCTGTTGACTTCAGTGAGGCCAGGCTGTAGCCCCAAAGACTTACCTCTAATACAACCACAAGCACTATTGGGAGGATAGTACTGGGGAGAGAAGTGAAATCTCAACCCAGAGATGTCCTAATGGCAGAGTGGCAAGAAGACACTCATCTCTAGTTCATGGCTTGGAATCAGACCCCAAAATGTTGTATTCTGAGGCGTAATTCAGACCCAGTACAAACAAAATCTGCCATGTGAAAAGAAGCATCATTTTTCCTATTCATCCCAAGAACAGCACTGGTCCTACAAGTTCTAGCAACCATCAGAAGAAACCAAATGAACAGAATGAAAATACAGATTTAGTAATTCTCTGGTATGAACAGGGTATCTGCATAAAAAGCTTGAGGCGCTGCTGCTGTCAYGCTGTCTCTGTTTGATCAAGTAAGCATTGGATTTTCACTGGCAAACGTACAGTGTAAGCAAAAAGCTTACTCTGTTAAAAAAAAAAAAAGAAAATTCATTTTTAATTCCCAAATTTCACAGAATCACAGAATCACAGAATCACAGAATCACTGAGGTTGGAAGGGACCTGCAGAGATCACCTAGTCCAACCTTCCCGCTCCAGCAGGGACACCCAGAGCACGGAGCACAGGGCAGCATCCTGGCGGGTTTGAAGATCTCCAGAGAAGGAGACTCCACAGCCTCCCTGGGCAGCCTGTGCCAGGGCTCTGCCACCCAGAAATTTGAAAATGGAAATCTGAAAATGTTAAATTTGAAATGGAAATTTACCCATTTCCATTTCATTCTCTGCTAAATGCAGGGGAGGGAAGAAAAAGGAAAACTTGCAGGGAAAGATTTCACAGACAATAAAACTACATGCCTTTAACCTCAGAATCCCACGTTTTAAGTAGAAATCCTTAATAGACATGGTAGATTTTCTAAACTTCTTGTACTTTAGAACAAAATATCACCTCACTTACGTCAATGGAGGAAGGATGTTGCCACTTTACRCCATGTTATCAACATATATTTTTTTGGTCTCTTTCTGTATCGTGGGTAATTTTCACTCCAAATGGGCTATGCTTTAATATCAACATTCCATAGCTTTACACAGTTAGAATGAAACATAGCTGAGACATGACTGAGAACTGCTTGGCTCTGCTTCACATTATATATGAATCATTCCGTTTGTCATGGGAGTTTACTGTCTTGCCCTGCAAAGGCCCATATAACTTTTGACAGAGAATATCTAATCCTAGATAAAATGAAAAAAAGCTTGACCTCTTCTAGACTTGTATAAAACTAGGTTCCCAGGTGACTGATACTTTTCTGCGTTAGGCAATGCAAAGGATTTGCTCACAACATGGGCTAACAATATCTAACAGTATATTCGGACTACCTGGTCCGTTTTTTACTGGCAGAGCAAATCTGGAAGCAATGAGAGATCCATCTCTACACCATGTACAGCAGCACTGCTCTAGCCAGTGACTTCAGAAGCCAYGAAACAGGACTCCCCAGTGCAATCAGACATCTGCCCAGGACACTGCAGGGTAAGGCCCTGAAGGGTTTAAGCTCATAGATGACCATCTCTGTGACAACCACAGCCTGGTTTTATGTGGAAATGGGAGGTATGCATTTCCTCTAGAGGGTCTATTTCTGCAAAATTCCCTTGATCAGTGGATGAAATGCTGAAATACTATATAGGGTGTTAACATTTATTTAATCAGACATTACTTTTGCAGCACACCAGAGCAGCAAAGATGTCTGTAACCATCTATTAAGATGTGTTACTTGAATTAAACTTCCTATATTTGTTTTATTTATCCCAATAACATCCTGATGTCCCACCAAAGCCTAATTATAGTGTACAAAAAGCATCCTGTTTCGTCTGATARAGTAAAACCCAGCTGTCATATGTGAAAAAACATCTCCTCCTTTWGGCAATCTTTTTTGAGATTGCTTGTCTGTAATAATTTTACGTAAGTTTACCAAAAAAAAAAAAAAAAAAGCCCAGTGGGTGCATAAAGTTTTCCTTCAATATCCAAGCATTTCCACAGGCAACAAAGATGGAAAAAACRGTTTATTGCAGTGAAACTATTTCCTGCACAAATTTCAAGTTACTGTAAGAGAAAGGCAAATTTTCCTTTTTCTTACTCAAGTAATTCAATATATCTGTCAGGTGTAAATTATGGTTGATTAAAAGCAGTGGAATTTAGAGACTTCTAACACAGAAGAGCTTCTTAGAATTTCTAGGGTCGGTTTCAGAAACTCAGGGGCTTTCTATGATTCTGGCAAATGCCAACGCTTAACTCTCAGAGTAACTGTTTAGATTAGACTTTATATTACACAAAATATAATCTCTCACCTTGCCTACATAGTAGCTGCCATATACAATTTTATATACTCCATGTAACATGTAATTTATTGTTGGAAAGAACAGGTGGGATTTGTGTTTCTGCACGGGAAGGCCCAGGATTTGAATGATTAATCCTTATTACTTTATGTTTCCATTTCTATACAGCCTCACTTCATGTTTCTATTCCTACATATCCTGAGCACTGGACTAAAACACTTGCCATCCAGGTCCCCTGTTCTCTCCCAGTAGAGCATGGCTTTGAGACCACTGAAAGGACTGTAACCCTTCTTAAGCCATGGAGAAGCACTGAGCATTTTACAAAGGCACATGAAGACGACATTTTCAGAAAACTTGGATCCTGCTCCAAATACAACCTATAAGAATCTATTTCCTAAGTGAAAGCAGAGATATTGGAATACATTTTCAAGATCCTGAGTCCACTTACATCTCTTCCTGGTCTTTTCAAGAACTGCATCATGATCATGCTCTAATCGCCTTGTCAAGTGTTTTATAAAATCCAAAAGAAACATTCCAGTGAATTCAGTACCAGTGGGAGGGGAAGCTACCTTTCACGCTGCTATGATGGATTAGCCTCTGAAAAATCACCTGCGCCTATTTAGCTCCTAGGAGACTTCACGGGAAGAGCCCACTGGGTCAGCACACTGATTCCCTAAAACAGAGGCAAGTAAAAAGCTATGCACGTCACTTACAAACACCTGCCAGTTTATGCAGGGCATGCTGGCAGCTCTCAATCCCTCCCAAAACAAAGTGACACTTTCCTTAAGAGGAAAGCTCATCCACTGACAATCACATTCTTTTTCTACAGACTTTTGCCTTAGTTCTTAGCTGACAGCCCCTGCTGCCCTCCTGCCAATATGTCCAAGGACTTGGATAAAATATGCAGCATTAAAGCAAAAGGTAGGGAAAAGGAGAAAAAAAAAATCACAAAATGGATTTTTCCCCCAAATGAATAATTGAATTCTTTAACCTTTAAACATGCTTATTTACTTACAGAAAGTATTTCAGGCACAAAAGGTTTGAGTATCAGTCACATACCATAAGTAATAGTATCAGGAATGTCCCATGCAGTGCAGTCAGCTATATTATCCCCTATCAAGAGCTTGGAGTTGCAGTTTTTGTATAAATACATACATACATATAAAATATGCATCATTCACACTATGGTCTCTTGGTCTGAGTTGACTCCAGTTGGGTTTATATAACAACAGTATCTGTCATAAGGGCTGTTTTCCTTGTAAGAACAGACAATGATACTGTCCTTAGGAGCCACAAAAATATTGTCTTCAACATCCAGGCAGGCAGTGCTGTCCCGGGTGGGAGAAGAGCTTGTCTTCTCCAAGGCACTGTACGTGGATCCATCTCCCACAAACACATTCCCTGGCATCTCGGGGTAACAGGTCTCCAGGTATTTCAGTATCTCCTCCTGCTCCACCTTTTTGATCAGGCTCTTGCACTCGCCCACAGTGGTGGTGGTGGTGGTGGTGGTGCAGATGGACACCGAGTCATCACCCCGCAGCCCCTTCTTGTCCTTCACATATGCCTTCTTGGCCAGCTCAATACAGCTCCCCTTGCCAGATTCCAGGTCCGAGGGGCTTCGCAGCAGCTCCATGGCATCCCGATCCTTGGCTTGCTTGCAGCACGGACACTTATTTTTGGGCCACTTGGTGCAGCCGTCGGTTTTTCTAGTGAGGGCAATTGCAGCTATGCCCGGCAGGCAGATGGCTGGCCCGATGGCCAGGAGGGGTATGTCCCCCAGCGTCTCTCCCTTGATCCCAGACACGGTGAACATGAAGCCAAACACCAGGAACACACTGACCAGAGCCACCACCAGCCCCGTGCGGGGGTTGATGTCGTCCGGTCTCATGGTTCGCGCCATCCTGCCTGCATGCAAGGGCCCCCTCCTCGCCACGTCCTCGGAAGCAGCCCCCGGGAAGGGGCGCAGCACCTCTGYGAAGGGTCCGAGTTTTCCAAGGAGAAGGTGCGGGGAAGCGCAGGGGAGGCGAAACCTGCCTTGTGCCGCCGTCCTGGAGCCCACGGGGCCTCCCCCGTGCGCGGCGCGGGGCAGCCCCGCCGCGTCCTTCCACGGGTGACGGCGGGGCACGCGCGTGCCGGCTGCACGCGCGTGTGCGGGGAGCGAGCACGCTCCGTGCACGCGCGTGTGCTGCGTGTGCGGCGCGTGCACGCCTCGTGCAATGCGCGTGGCGTGTGTGCACGCGTGTGCAATGAGCGGGGGGCGCGCGGCGCACGCAGAGTGTGTGCACGAGTGTGCAATGAGTGTGCAATGAGCGGGGAGCGTGCACGGCGTGTGCAATGAGTGTGCAGTGAGTGGGGAGCGTGCGGCGCGCGCAGTGTGTGCACGCGTGTGCACCGAGCAAAGCGGCGAGGCGGGGCGGGGGGCGGGCAGCCGTGCGGGGCACCGGGCGCTTCCTCCTCCTCCTCCTCCTCCTCCTCCTCCTCCCCCTGGTCCCAGCTCCGCGAGCCTCGGTGAGTCCAAGCGCCGCCCGAGGGAACGCGCCCAAAACTCCTCAGCTATTGCAGGGTTCCTGGCGAAAGCGGAGAAAAAGAATGTCCGTGCTTTTCGTTTGCGGCTTGATTTTCTCCAGGCTCTGTTAGAAACTCTCCGAGGGGTGATACCTCTGCTAGGCACGAGGGATTGATCTGGATTTTAGCATGCATTTTCCAAATTTCCCGTGGTGTCTACCACCTGCTGTCAGTCGATCTCGACATTGATGTTCGGTCTGCGAGTTTTGATGTACGTGAGGTATGCGAGATGTGTTTTTCTCAAAGTAAGCAGTGTCATCAGAATTAACAGGAGAGGATCGGAAATGTGTGGGAATGTGGTGGAAAGGAGGGAGGAGCCTCATAAACTGCCTAATTTTCTGGCAGGTTATTTCAACACTTCATGTGCGTTAGGTGCACAGTGTTATAAAGGAGTCAGTGCTTTCACCTGGAGTAGCAATAGTGGGAGATAAAAAGGAGTGATATCAGCAAGAGTCTGAGAAATAAAATAAACATTTCTGAACTAAAATCTAGAATCTTTTCTTTTTCCCGTGAGACATCCCATTAAGAGTTTTCCTTCCCTCAACATATTGTCAATAGCCATAAAAGAACAAAATAAAACTCACCTTCCTGCCATGATAATGTCTGCTTTTTATTCATGCTCCCTACTTCGCAAGTTGAACAAAGCACCTAGAAATCACAAATTTCCAATCTGTTTGTACACAGAGCAAGCCTGACTATGTCCCCTCTATTTAAAGAGCTGCATGTCACAGCTCTTGTTTCAGTTTATCTTCCTAAGCTGATTGTCAAGTAAGAGCCTTTTAACCATAACTGTAAGGAAGCAACTCCAAGGAGAAAAGTGTTAACTTTGGTGATAATAGCCAGATTTGGAGATGGAAAGTTTGGGACAGATCTCTGARCCACCTGGCTGATGGCTGAGCAGGATTGAATGAGGAATAACTAAGACTTTTTGGTTTTTTTAGGAATACCCTCCGTTTCATAGAAAGATGTCAGATCAAACCTCCTTGTTAGATTTCAGCAAAATCTGTCTTCTACTTTTGCCACTGTACAGGATCTGGCAGGATTAGCAACAAATATATCTTCTCATGTGGTATTTTCTGAAATGAGAATTGTTTCCATTTGCTGTTATTTAGGTACTTTGGTTTTCATAGCTCCTATATTCTYATATTAAAATGAATAATGCCTTTTTTTACTCCTCCGCTAAATTCCAGATAAAGGAAAATGATTGCTTTTCAGCTACTCTGTCCCACTGAGCTAAAGCTGTTAAGGCTGGGTAGAGTTGTATTGGTAAATAATCATTCGAACCTCTGTTTCCTGCTCCGCTCCTCTCCCCTCCCCTCATGTATTTGAATAGTCTATTTCTTGTTAGGTTAGATATATGTGCAGGAATATTGTGCAGAAATAAAAGGTGTTCTGGGGGAAAACCAATTAGCTGTTACTGTGTACATCAGAGTCTGTTAATGAAAGAAAAACATTATAGATGGCAAAAAAAAAGCAAATATCTTTAGTGGTATCAGTCGAGGGGGGGGGAAATACTGTAAGAACTGCATTATGTGTCAGAAGATATAACAGGCATAAAAATGGCCCTTCAAATTTAAGTGACAAGGTTACTGAGATGGAAGACAGAACACATATTCTGGAAAGGGAAACCGTTAGTGGGCAGAATAATGCTTACAGAAAATGTCAGGACAATTGTAGAACTAAGTGCCTCCGATTTGTTCCTTTGTGAATAGTTTCCAAGACAAATAGGTATAGAAACTGTATGCCTTCCGCAGGGGATAGAAAGGGAAAACAAATGTCCATTCCAGAAAAAAAAATACTACAATTATTTAAATTGACTATGATTTTCCAAAGTAAAAACCAAAAGATCAACAAGTTACTAATTCTTCAACTGCGTAGCGATGTAAGTTGTTAAGTTTTCTCTCCTGAACCAGAAAAAATCTGACTTTTGTGAAGTCAAGCACATTTCTCTTGCTGTTTTTACAGTGCCTTATGCAAATATTTGGATTAACTAGGGCAATAACTGAAAATCCTGAATAGCTGGTGATGGTGTTTGAATGTCTTTGAGTGCTATAAACCTTAATTTTGACTGTTTACTCAGAAAAAAAAAAAAATGATGCTGAATTTAGGAGAAAAAAAGCTTCTTTTTCTACATGGTGCTTTTGATGTCTTTTAGGATGGGTCTAATTGGGTTAGTGTTTAGAGRAGACTTCTGGAAAAATCTCGAGTTGAATGAGGGCTGTGGGCAGAATGTAAATGCTAGAGCAATGTGACATAGGTCATCACCTGTACATTACATTTTTAAAAGTGGTAAACTGGAACAATCAACACTAGATCAGTAATTTCAGCTTGCACACCATGCATTTCCTCTATGCACTCATTCAAATGCAAAATTCTTTTCTTGTCCTACATAATAATTTAGTGTAACTGTTAATAAGGCAGTATATGTCATTCTCTTGCTCTTTATAGTTCAGTACTGAAGGTAATGGCCAGTGTTAATAAAGGATCTTAGTATTCAAACTTGGTAGGAGCTTGAAAGCCACTATAGAGGTGATACCTATGCCAGCTCCTTATGACCATGATGTGGAAGCTGGAAAACTGCAAATTATAGCTAACTTCATCAAAAAAAAAATAGAAAAAAAAATTAAATGGCTAATTCAAAGTGCACAGCTAATTCAAAATGTATCAACTATTGTAGCTTAAGTTGTACTTAACATCCTGGCTATTCAAGAAAACACAAGCACCTTTTTTACCATCTTGATGCATCATGTGAAGTATGTAAATCTTACATCTACTTAAATCTACTGGGTGTTAGAATGTTAGAAACTTTAATGGGTCAGAAATCTGACAACTTTCAACAACTCTGATCTTATGCAGTAATCTGAGTCTCATATGTACGTGAATAACTTGAATAACCTGATAGTCATATCCCTCAGATAGTGATAACTTTACCTTATTTTTTTTTATCTTCAGTACTTTTGTTTTTGCCATCTCAATAAAATCAATGTTCTCTAAGCTGCAATTGCTTACCAGTAGTAATGGTGCTAGAATATCAGGAATTATTCACTCCAGATTGTTGCTATTTTGAATATAAAGATATGTTTTGGACAAAGTACCAACCTATGAGCATGGAGCTAGTAAAACAGTTAACTTGATAAATGAATTTAGACTTGCTGACTTGCTACATTTTTTTTTTTCTTTAGTAGGTTTTACATTAGAGATCTAAAAGGATTGGACCAGGATGGATGAGGCGAAACAGATACCKGCTGAGTGACAGACTTCAATAATTTTTACAAGTGCTTCTTTCTTATAGCCCTATCTTAAGCTAGGTACTTCTTCCTTACAACTCTATGTTAACCTTCTGTTCTGTCCTCAGCCAGTGCTCTCCAATGATAATTTAATGTAAATCCAACAGCTATCTCTGATTGGCCAGTAGTGTAAAAGCTTGAGAAGAGCATATAGCATTTTCTTCTAGCAGCATCCCAAAGGGATCCTTTTCTTGTAGGCATAGTTTCAATTTAATACATTACAGATGACAGCTGGTCTAACTAATAATGTCACTTACTATTTTAACCTTACCACACAAAGTCTGCCAAAGTTCTATTCACATCAGAGGTAAAACTACACTCTTTGTTCTATCTCCCAAGATCTATAGCAATGCTAAAGCATTACAGAACTTGACACTGCTTTGTGGTGTGGAATCATGCAAGATGTAGCTATAATTTGTGTATGAAATGCATGACTTGTTCTGTTGACCAGTTCTCTGTGAGTTGGGAAGTTTCACTTGCAGTTTTACTGCAATACTCTCCTCATGCACACATTTGAACCACCTTGTTAGCTTGGGTAGACTGGTGCCATTCTGCGGAGGTTGCTGACACTTCAAACTAGCTCATGAGCTGTCCCAGAAAATCCTTTCTGTTTGTTATCTATTGCAAGTCCTGTCTGTTGGAGGTGGATGATGAATGTTACATCTTTCTTCAAGACTCCTTTATTTCATGTTTTCTCAGCCTTATCCATTAGAAAAACACTTGCTAATGTCTCCATGCTGTGCAGATGTGTGCTATGGGCCTCCTGCTCATGCACATACTTGTATACATGTTTTTTTTCCCCTTATTTTAAAATGCTTGTAGCTCTCTCAGTTTCAGATACAGAAATTGCCCTACTGATTTTGCTCATGAGATCTAGCCTGACTCTGCAGCTCTTCCATGCCATGTACTCTCTTTCAAAGCCCCAGGCAATTATCTGCAGTCTTCTTATGTTTTCTCTGATGCACAAGAAATTCACCCAAGGGGAATTTTCAGGATTTTCATGTTGCTTAACTCTTCTTGGTCTTAATCTTTCCAGTCAATCATCTGA